GTTTTAGTCCGACTCTGACAACTGTGACACTGGAAGACTTTCTGCTGGTTCCCACTCTTGGCACCGTGTTCACTTCTCATTGTTTATCAGTCGTTCTCCTTGGACAGTCATTTGCGGGCTGAGCCTAGGATGAATGACTTTCCTCCAGAGGATGTGTGTTTGCTCCTGCCAGGCACCTGGGAGGACTACAAGTCTAGGACCCCCACGGACTGAGGTCACAGTGGGAGGTGCCCTGGGGTAACCAGTGCTGTCAACCAGGGTGAGGACCCACCCCTCCCTCACTTCTCAGGAACCAGTTTCCTTTGGTTTTTCTCAGGCTCTGCTCAGCACCAGGGAAAACTTCCATGCTGTCTTCTGTTCTTACTGAAGGTACAGCCCTGGGGGTTCCAGCAAAATGGAGAGAGGGTCTCCTAGTAGACCGCCACTTTGAGCCCTTAACCCTTGAGGCCCTCAGGGCAAAAGTGTCTTAGTGCACCTTACCTGCTTTCCCTTGGCACCTGACCTGGACGTTCTTTGCAACCTGCTGGCTCATCAATAGATTTTTGTATTTTATCCAGCATTTTTATTTAAAGTAAAAGGGTTGGTCTGAAAAATCTAGCCCATCACTACCAGAAACAGAAGTCCTAAAATTCCCTTAAAAAATTATCTCTTAATTAGACAAGTAACATGTGAATACATCATCCTTATAAAAATGTAAAATATGTGCAGTACTGGCTAGGACATATACCAGACGCAGGCTTCTCTTACTTATAGTAGTCAGGGGCTGATTCAAGTCTTGTCTTTCATTATGACTCAGAATATTTTGTTTGTTTGTTTATGGCTATGCTGGGTCTTCTTTGCTGCGCGCGGGCTTTCTCTAGTTGCGGTGAGCGGGGGCTACTCTTCCTTGTGGTGCTCAGGCTTCTCATTGCAGTGACTTCTCTTGTTGTGGAGCACAGGCTCTAGGAGTGTGGGCTTCAGTAGTTTTGGCACGTGGGCTCAGTAGTTGTGGCTCATGGGCTCTAGAGCGCAGGCTCAGTAGTTGTGGCGCACGGGCTGAGTTGCTCCGCGGCATGTGGGATCTTCCCGGACCAGGGCTCGAACCCGTGTCCCCTCCATTGGCAGGCAGATTCCTGGAAGTCCCCAAACTATTTTTTTTTAATTAAGAATTAAAAAGTAAAATCGGAACTTTAAAACTGTACAGAGAAGGAAAGGTCTCCTTTGGCCGTCACCCCATTTCTAGTACCCCCGCCAAGAGGTTTCCACTGTTTTCAGTTTGGTGTATACCATTTTTAAACACATTTACATATACATCCATGTATACCTGTGGGAAAGCTGTAGTATCACCTTGTCTTTTTATTTTTTACATACATGGCTTTAGGCATTACACTCTTCATAATGCTATCCAAGCTTTCACTTGGCAAATATTCCTGGAGGAACTTTCCATATCAGGAGCCCAAGGGGCAGAAACAGGAAACCTCTGGGTCAAATCTGGTTAAAGACCATGTCACGGTCAGCCCACATGGTATTTGGGGTTTTGGGGGGAGGCACTTGTTATTAAAGGATAACGACATATGGAAAATTGCACAAACCTGTGTAACCAGCTTCTACTAGTCACGACCCATCCTCCACCACCATCTTGACTTCTAACAGCAGAGACTGGTTTCCAAATGTGGTTTTTAAATTAAGAAAACGCAACATGAGGGCTTCCCTGGTGGCGCAGTGCTTGAGAGTCCGCCTGCTGATGCAGGAGACGCGGGTTCGTGCCCCGTTTCGGGAAGATCCCACATGCCGCGGAGCGGCTGGGCCCGTGAGCCATGGCCACTGAGCCTGCGCGTCCGGAGCCTGTGCTCCGCAAATGGGAGAGGCCACAACAGTGAGAGGCCCGCATAACGCAAGGAAAAAAAAAAAAAAAAAAAAGAAAACGCAACATGAAAAATCGTTATTTCCATCTCCGTGAAAACTCAGAAGTCCTGGCAACATTCCCTTGGCCCAAGCGACCAGGTCTGGCAACGACCAGCTCTAGGTGTTCTCTAGTTTAGCGCGGAACCCAGTCCCCGCTGGGGTCTAATTCGGGAAGCTTCATCCCTTGACATCACCTGCCTGGTCCCTAGAGACGTCCAAGTTTACAGCACCTAGTCGGACAGTCCTCTATTGATGCCTATTTGAGGTGTGTCTGGATCTTCCTTATTAAAGAAATACTGCACCCAGCATTTCCATATAGATGTGTATGTGTATGTATACGTATATCTTTCTCTCCAAAGGAATCAAAAACATGTTCACAGAAAACCTTGTACACAAATGTTTATAGCAGCAATATTCATAAGAGCCAAAGGGTTCAAATGTCCATCAACTAATAAATGGATAAACAAAATGTGATCCATCCACACAATGGAATATTATTTGGCCATAGAAAGTAATCAAGAACTGACACTTAAAGTATGGATGAACCTTGAACACATTATGTTAATTGAAATATGCCAGTCACAAAAGAACATATACCGTATGATTCCATTTCTATGAAATGTCCAGAAAAGGCAAATCTACGAAGACAGAAAGTAGACTAGTTGTTGCCAAGTGCTGGGAGGGGGTCAGTGACTGGTAATCGTTGCAGGGCTTCTTTTTGGGATGGTGAAATGTCCTAAGACAGATAGTGGTGATGGTTGCACAACTCTGTAAATAAACTGAAAACCACTGAATTGTACCCTTTAAATTAGTGAACTGGGTATGTGAATTATCTGCCCATAAAACCGTTACTTAGAAAACGAACATTACAGCCCTGAACACCCTTGTACATCTCTTTCTAGTATTGCTGGACCACAGAATCATCTTATCTTCTAATTTCTCCTGAGCAGCTAAACTGATTCACTCTACCACAAACCGCAATCCTTCTCTCCCCACACCTTTGGCGACACTTTCTATGGCATTTCACTTTAATTTACATTTCCCTGGTTACCAGTTTTAGAATCTTTTCTTATTTATTGGCCATTTGTATTTTCTCTTCTATGAATTTTCTGTTCATGTCCTTCACTCAGCTTTAAAATTGGAATGTCTTTGGATTAATGTGTAGTTTCTTTATACACTCTGGGTAGATACACTTTATTTCATATGTTGCCTAATATTTTCTCACATGTCAGTTTTTAATGGATGTAAAACACTTAGCAAGTCCCTGCACATAACAACTTAACAGGAGGTCCATCGTTTTTAATATGCTGACTTAACTGACCACATTCTGCTAAAAATACCACAAAGGAAGTCTGTGGCTCTAGTGGCTTTGTTTCCTACATTTTACCCTTCTTTTTATTTTTATTTTGGCAAAAACCACCTCGGGTCTGAGAGGAGCTAAGGCTATCTAGCCCTGGACACGGATGGTGACAACCACTTTCCGAGACAGACAGGTTTAGAGACCCTCTCCAGCCAGGAAGCAGTGTGAGAGCTCCTTTTCCACCCCTTGCAGAAACACTCGGTACCAGAGTTGAACACGAAGAACCAACAAGTGCTCATCTCTTTAGTTCCGTGGATGAGTCCCACCAAGAGAGACGGAAGCAGAGACTTGACTTTGGCTCCTGCCCTGACATCAGCAGATTTATACAGGCAACAGGAAACACAGGGACAATGAAATCAAACTCAAAGAAAAGGTAATTTCCTCTCTAGTTCATGGCTCTCAAAAGCAACCTAAAAGCAGGGTCCTGATAGGCGTCACTTGCAGGCTGGTTCCTACACACCGGCTGGGGCAGTGGGAGCCTGGCTGAGCACTCCCGGGGCCCACGGAAGACCACGAGCTCGTGTCCCTGAGAAAGCACCCTGGTCACGGACCCCCGAGGCCAAGTATGGCCCTCACAGCAAAACTGCACTACCTTGAGAGATGCATTAAACTCCAGACGAAAAGACAGACAGACAGACAGACACACACACACACACACACACATCTGGTTTGGTCTGGTCTTCCAGGGCACGGGACCTCAGCAACAGCACGGTGAACAACGGCAAGGTTACATTTTACCCCTTCGAGCTCATCTCGGTTCTCCATGCTCACTGTTGGCTGTAACCGCCTCACGTTCAGCCCAGGGGAGCCCAGTCATGGGGCTACTGGTTATCTTTCCTTCCTCCCCAAACCAGTGAGTGAGAACTCCGAGCAGATACCTTCCAACTGCGTACTGGAGAAAACTCCTGAGGCCTGAGTTTTGTTCCTGAAGGAAGAACGGAGCCATAACTGAAGCAGATAGACCCTGGGTGCCCTGCACAGGGTGCAGGGAGCGCCTGCAGCGTTTCTGCCAAAAGGAGCGCCTACAATTGTATCCAATCTTCTCACCAGGATCGCTGCGTACTGGGGAGGACATCTCCGAGGCTCACAGCTACTAAGTTTTTAAAATACAGCCCATAAAGTCTATGAAACTGTTTAGAAAAAATTTATTTGAACATATGGAAGGAAAACTTAGAGACCCCAATAAAACAGAGACGTTCCTTTCACTACTGATGGGGG